AGAATCGTTAATTTCAACAAAGCTCTTGACATTATAAAAATAATCCCTTACAAAGGTATTGACAACTAAGTGAGTCCATTGACAAGCAAAGAGGTGAATGGATACAAAATATCTTACTGCACCATAAACAGATCGATCATCTAATGTTTGATTGTTTTCAACCAGGCCAAAAGCAGAATCTGTATATTTGTCACATGTAGTTTCACAGAATATTGACCATGCCTCTCCATTGACATTTACAGAAATGAACAATCGCAATATGGAGTAATGATCACATAAAAAAAATGAGAGAAAATGTCCCATGTTATTAACAAACATTATCCTATCCGATTTCACACTCGACAGTGACGAGACCTAATGGAATACAATTGTGTTCATTTCAACAGTGTTTATACAGGGAAGCTAGTCATACAATGAAATGAGCAAAGTGGAGCTGGTGCTGCAACCATTACAAATAAGCATCTGACAGCTATATAACATAATTGACAACCGAGGGGAGTGCAATCAGAACCATTCCTTGTACATTACATACACAAACAGACATACAATAGAAGCATTATACACAGAGATATTGATATTCATGGATTTCCTAGTCATTCCATCTTCAATTGTTCAGCGACGCTTTCACATCTCGTAATGGTTACCACATGGAAATTTATACCGATTGCATAAAATTAAAAAATTGGGTCATACCAATATTTGTTACAGATTAAGTTTTAGATCAAGTGCCAATATGCAACTTATATTATAATTTGTTCTGTAATGGGTATTGATGAATAGTTAACTTTCTTTTGAAAAGGGAAATTGAAATAGGGCTTAAAACAAAAAGGCAATGCAAAATTTTAACTAAAAGAAAGTTATTTCCGGTTTTTGTAACTTCACTGCAGGTTTACCAAAAAACAACAAAAGAAAGGTCTCAGACTTTTTGCACCAGTTCTTGCAATCAGGTTGATATTGCAATAATCATTTAAATCCAGTCCTCATTAACTTCTTTCATTTTTTTGCGAAAAAGGTTAATTTTGATATGAGACTTGTTCCAGCTAGTTGGTGGTTGTCTGCAAATAACTGAATCTGGTCCAGACAATCCAGTGATCAACATCATGAGCATCGATCTATGCAATTGGGATTCAGTGAAATGATGTACATGTATTGACATGACGATTGTTCAAGCATATGGCTCTGTTGATAAGTTTGGTTTGCCCTGAACTTCAATCATTCAAAAAACAAAACTGCATGAACTCATTTACATACAGTGTTGCTGAAAAATTTCAAATAAGAATCTTTTGTTGCTATGGAAACAACATAAAACATACCGATGAATTCTTTGGAATCAGTAAAATGAGTCAAAGTAAACACAACAATCTTCGCACAAGAGAACAATGTATGGAAAACAGTGGGTTAGAACTAGTCAACATTTGACAGGATGTTTGTAACAGGTCAGATTGCACTGTGCAGAGTAAAAGCAACTGAATCGTGAATTGACACCCATTTGATCATTCAGGCTGTTTCAAATTGTAACATGGCAGATGTTACAAACACCAGTTTCAGATCTTAGTCCAGGCCTGGATTTCTCGAAACCAACTTAAGTTTTTACTCAAATCTCAAACTGAGTTTCACAATTTGAAACAGCTGAATTTTAACTCAACTGCATTTTCAAAATATAAAAGCCCAAACAACTTAAGTAATCTACCCACCAAACTCAAATTGTCTTCTATAGTTTGAGTTTAATACCAATTTCAGTTCATTCTGTGAAATGCATTTTCCTGCGTTTTCTCAGATTTGAGTAAAAACTCGAACTTAAGTCAAAACTCAGGCTTAAGTTTGTTTCAAGAAATCGGGGCCAGAACCCACAGACCCATCTTAGCACTGAGATGATTAACTCAAAGGATGACAATCATCAGAGCTAGACCTTTACACAACAAGGCCCAATCTCACTTGCACTGACCAATCTTAGTGCTAAGATCGTAAGTCTGCAAATGAGAAACAGCAACAATCAACATAGCACTGGAACTCTTTGTGTTGTAAGTCAAGAGCCTACAGTCACAAACATCTCATTGCTACAATGACTGAGTCTGTGACTGAGCAAGAGCAACAATCATCATAGTCCCAGACCTCTTTGCGGAACAAGACAAGAGCCCACTTGCACAATCCCATCTGTGAACTTCAATGATCAAATGATGATTGTGTCCGAGAAATCACTGAACGCTAAACCTCCTTGTGGAAGGCCAGGGTGCCGTTGTACAAAACTAACATAGTGCCAAGACTACCTTAAATCTATGTAAAGGTATGGGAGCGCTAAGATCGCTTTGTACAACGGCACCCTGGTCTCCCATTTAAGGCTACGACAGATGTAGGATGATTGTAAGAAATCACTGTATGCCAGACCTCTTCGTGGAACATATATAGGCCCCCTTGCAGAAAACAACTTTAGCACAAAGACTGAATTAACGGTATGAAAAAGAGTTTTAGCACAAAGATCACAACATAAATGTCTTTAGTGCCAGTACTGTATTGAATGGGAGATCTGATTTGTTTTCTAGCAGGTCGTGGTATTTCACATTGTGGGAGTCATTGCTAGTTTCACTGCACTGAGACACATTTGTGGGACAACACTTACAATAACCCTGAAGCAGACCTTTCTTCTATGCTTAAAGACATCAATCCAAGATTTGTGGGAGGGTGTGTGAAATTTGTCATTATGAGCATTATCATGACTGTCAAGTGAGTTTAGATTTAACACCACTTTAAACAGAATTCCAGTTACACAACGGCAGATGAGCTTAATGTGGTTAGAAACCAAAATTTAAAATTGGGGTTACAGTTTTCATGGAGTTTCAAAATGTTTTTATTAAATAAGGCCAGACCAATTCTATTTCTTGTTTTACCTAAAGGCAGGATTTTTGTCCTCAGAAAACCTAAAGGCAGTAGGGGAAAAAAACACCAAAATCAAGTCAAAGCAAAAACACAAATGAGGTTTTCAAAGGCATTGTTTTTAAAGTTCACATTCGCAGAGGTGCTCAAAGAACTTATTTCTAACACAAATATTGTTAGATAATTCAGTTTAAAGTCTCTGAGAACTGATACCGTTGTTTTAGTGTCCAAAAAACTGCCTTGCGTAGTCGAAGTCTCACTCCCATATATCTTAACAAAAATTAACTTTTTTCTCATACTTGAAAAAATACATCCGTCAGATCCGTAAAACACTAAATAAAATTGGTCTGGCCTAAAGGTTAATCTTAAAAATGTTTTGATGCTATAAAACGGCAACAAAAGACTTTAGCTGCTGAAGGGCAGCCTTGTTCCCGTGATCCTGGTTGTTTCACAATCCAGAAACACAAAACAATTCATGGAATATAACTTGGATTCACTGGAGCTACAAATACCTTGTATATGTCAAACATTTTCATACTTTCCTGGCAGTAAACAAACTACTGATCAGCAAATGCAGAAGTATCTCACAAATATGATACTCGATCTGAACATCTATAATGCAATTAGGGCAATTTTCAGTTTTCAGTCACTGGCCTAATCATACTAATTGTCAGTGTTTTGGCATTGTCTTATCACCTATACAAGTGCATTATATCAAGTTACAAAAACTCAAAATTCATATAAAAATGTTTATTAAAGCAGTATTTGATTCCTTACATCTCTTATGATCTGTAAAAAGTGTGAACTGTATGACATGTTTTACTCTCGAACAGGTCTTGAAATCACAATGCTAACAGGAATTTCACAAAGCTTTTTAATGGCACGTCATGAAAGTTATGGCTGTAACCAATTTGGAATGAACAGATGATATGCTACCAACAGAGTTAGAGAAGCAAGGAGAGAACAATAAGAGAGAGGGGAGAGAGATAGGAGATTCACCAGCAAGAATTGATCCACAAGACAACACATATAAAACAACTTCTCAGGATTTGCACACTAATTCTCTCACGACAACAACAGATTTCTGACAACTTTTGTAAAACTGCCCACATTGCTGAAACTGAGTTTGAGTGACTGTAATGATGGAGGAACTAGGAGAAGGGAAAGAGAAAGAAGAGAGAAAGGAGAAGTAAAAATCTCTACAGTGTCGAGACGTCAGTCCATCATGAATCAAAAAGTGTACTTTATCATATGATAAGTATAATTGCAGGCTAAAATATGATCACAGGCTAAAGTATGGTCGCAGGCTAAAAGGTAGTCACAGACAAAAGTACAGTCAGCGTATGATGTCTTCTTATTATGACGCAACTGAAAAAGTGTACTTTATCATAGGATAAGTATAATCGCAGGCTAAAATATGGTCGCAGGCTAAAGGATAGTCAGACTAAAGTACAGTCAGAGCATGATGTCTTCCTATTATGATGCAACTCAAAAAAGTGTACTTTACCAGAGGCTTAAGTAGTCAGTACCTCTTGTATATAAAAGAATCATCCTAGAATACCTTGTAAATAATTAATTCTTGTTTCTTGAGGGCAACTTCGTATAAGTTAATTGGACAAAAAATATATGCAGTAATTGAGAGAATAAAGAGAGAGTGAGTGAGTGAGTTGGGTTTTACGCCGCTTGTAGCAATATTCCAGCAATATCACGACAGGGGACACCAGAAAATGGGCTTCACACAATGTGCCCATGTGGGGATTCGAACCCGGGTCTTCAGCGTGACGATCCGACGCTTTAACCATTACGCAACAAGAGGAATACACTCCCATATCTACAAAACATGGCCAGTAAAGATATAACTGAAAATTAACAGGGTGGAGGATCACAATGCCTTTGGTTAACATAAGTAAACAGATTAAAAGTTGTCAGAAATCTGGTCTCGTTTTATCCCACCCTTTACATGATCTCCGAAACACGTAATGAAACATAGTGACTTCTTAGTGTCTGAACACTCCTTCCATTTCATGTCGTCAGACTTGAGCAGTACATGTCAGTTCACAAAGCATAATGCCCAACTGATAACAGCACTATCACAACTGCCACAGAAAAATCTCATCTCTATACTCTTCTTTCACCAATGGAGAACTCCCAAGTATTCCATCATGGTTATATTTTCTTCCAGAGACAGATCGACAGATCCGCAGGTCCCATCACAATCACAAATCCCTTCACTGACAGAGAAAGATCTGAATCTTTTCTTTCACTGACAGAGCAATCTTGAACATTTCACGTAAATTCAATCCTTCGTAGCCTTAAATCTCCAAATGTATGGGGGAAAATCAGGTGAGCTGTTTTCCCCATCAGTTAAAACGGAAAGTGTCAGAACTTATGGTGAATGCATTCCTCTGGTAAAACATGGATCTGTTTCATGATGACGATCTCCTTCATGAAAGAAATCTCAACACTGAATAACACAGACACAGTTTGTTCAATAAGCATTGACAATAACACTTGACTCTCACATTCTTTGACGCCGACTTTTAACTAATATTAACACAAATATCCACAAGATAACATAAAAAGCATCCACATCCACAAATTTTCCATGTAACAAAATCGGAAATTCATTTGAATAAAGTTCCAGCTGAATGACGACCACGACAGCTCACTATGCATTACAAGCGTATCATATAAAGGGAGGTAACTCATCCACGGTCACAGTCAGGCAATCACACAATTTCCACATTTCAGTGGTACAATAATAACAATGTCCTATGTACAATTTATACAACAGCAGGTGTCTTGCTGGGCCATCATGACTTCTTGGTTTCAGGCTCTGGTTTGACTATTTGAAATGAGATGAGATACTCTGGGTATGCCTGGAAGTAAAAAGAGAAGGAATTACAAACAGTTCGGACAATGTTTTGTTTTGTTGTTTCTGCTAGAAACCCATATTCAGCATCAAAGTCTGCAACCAACATCACTGAAAATTAACTATTTGCAATTTAATCTTCCAATTTATGTTGATATTGCAAAAACTTATACAATTACTTTGTACACTCCAGTATTGAATGTGCTAAATGCAAAATATATCAAAAGATAAAATAAGAATATCTCCATATCTGGACCTGGTAGTTTCCCCACCTTCACATCTCCAGCTCCTATCTCAAAATGTCTTCGTCAGACCATAGCTCCAGCCCAATATGCTCATCCCCAGACCTTTCACCGTATACCCACCCATATTTTCATAACCAGCCCCCTCCATCCCTCCAGCTCTTATCTCTGATCTCCACCCCTATGTCCATATCCCCACCCTATCTCCACCCCTATTTCCCTATCCCAACCCCTATCTCCATATCCCCACCCCTATCTCCATATGCCCCAACCATATCTCCATATCCTCTACCCTTACCTCCATATCTCCACCCATATTTCCCTATCTACATATCTTCCTATCCCCACCCCTATCTCCATATCCCCACCCATATCTCCATATCTCCACCCTATTTCCCCCCACCCCTATCTCCATATCCCCCACCCATATCCCATACCCCTTACCTCCATATCTCCACCCATATCTCCCTATCCCCAACCCTATCTCCATATCCCCCTATCCCATATCTCCATATCCCCTACCCTTACCTCAACCCATATTTCCCTACCCCAATCCCTATCTCCATATCTTCCTATCCCAACCCCTATCCTCTCTATATCCTCTACCCTTACCTCCATATCTCCATCCATATCTCCCTATCCCCATCCCTATCTCCATATCCCCACCCTCTATCTCCATATCCCCCACCCTATCTCCATATCCCATCCCTATCTCCATATCCCTACCCCTATCTCCATATCCCCACCCCTATCTCCATCCCCACCCTATCTCCCTATCCCCACCCTATCTCATATCTCTATTTCCATCCATATCCCCCCCTATCTCCATATCCCCCACCCTATCTCCATATCCCATATTTCCCTATCTCAATATCCCCCACCCCTATTTCCATATCTCCAGATGCTCACCTGTTCCCCTCTGTATACGACATACTCTGCGAACGAGAGTCCGCCTGTACTGGGTCGACCTATCACAGAATGGTGTCCTGGGGGTGCATGTGCCATCTTCATCGCACTGAACTGGAGGAAAGACTTGCCTAGCGTCACTCGACATAACAACAACTGCCTGCAATCAAATTAAAATGGGTCAATGTCATTAAAGATTTCAATTGACTATCTTCAAAACTGTTCTAGCATATTGTTAAGTATTTAGTTTGTTGGGAATTAATTGCCAGGGCTCCAAATCATTTTTCAACATCAGCAGTAAGTACTCCTTATTTTTTCAATACAGGAGTACTGGAAAACCTTAAGAGTACATTTAGAGTACTGAATGGAAATTATTGGAGTATCAGTAATCTTGTGTTTCGTTTCATATATGCACCACAACATTGCTACTCTTGAGGAAACAGGTCAATGAACAATAAAACAATATTTTTCCCGATAAATACGACTATAAATGATTCTAAGACCGTACACTATTGCTGTGCGTCGTATCTGCTACGTTTTCCAAATTATTTCCCACCGTATCATGCATATTTTTATCTGTACATACGCCGATACGGCCCTTATCTGGAGCCCTGAATTGTTGAAAATGAATAATTCAAATAAAGTCTATAAAATAAGTCTGGTGAGACAAACCAAGAACAGGAAGCTAGTGAGTGAGTATGGTTTTACGCCACTTCTAGCAATATTCCAGCAATATCATGGTGGTGGACACTAGAAATGGGCTTCACACATTGTACCATACAAGACCGGAGTCGCCATCCTGATGAGTGAACACTTTACCCACTAGGCTACCCCACCGCCCCTACAGGAAGTGACAAATGATCAATGCTAAAAACAGGCAATCAGACAGGCAACCAATGTTGATCATATGATCTTCACACTATGGGATCCACGACCGCGTTATACCAAAAGACTTTAAAATATGGTACTTGTTGGTCCCTGCCTGGCGCTCGGCATTAATGGGTACAACAAGGACTGGGCTTCGGAGTCATATGTACCCATGTGGGGTATTCATGCTGCACTGCGGGTATCTCAGTGGGCTAGCACTATAAAACCAGCTTCAGTCTGGGCTAGTACAAGGCATACACATACACGTCGTCATGAAATATTCTCAAGCACGACTTTAAACCCAATTTCACCTCACCTCACCATCACACCATGGTTCAAATCACCAGCAAGGATACTGCTGACCAATTCCCAATGTGGAAGGTGTCAACTGAGCATAATGTTAATAGGAACAGACTATTTGTGGACTCATTACTTACCTATTACATATATAACAGGACCTATCTTTATGTACAGGGCACCCTGTGCCGCCACCGATACCATACACATACTGGTTGCTCTTGGAGGAATTTTCAGCAAAATAAATACCTGAAACATACAAGCACTCAATGTTACAGTTTGAGGTACAAACCTGTGACCTATTTAACACATATTCAACTCACACTGTCACTTCACTTCAACTATGGAAATTCCAAAATTCACACTAATCTGCTAGTCACTGATGACTAAAATGTGCTCAGCACAAGTGAGAATCTAACCATGGTATTCCATCAGGGCCATAATTCAGAATCAGTTCTCCAAATCCCATTTTACTACAAATTTGAATGGAATAAAACTGACAGAAAATGTAACCACTTTTAACATTTGTCTTGTCCAAGGACTTGCAACATTCAGAAGAAGAGTATGATCAGAATTCCCACTAGAATTCCTCCAGGCTAATCAGAGAAACCAATCAGGGCTCGAGAGATGTTAACCTACTTGCACCAGGTGCAACCTAAGATAAAAACCTAGATGCACCAGCCAAATTCCAGTTGCACTGCTTTTATTGCAATATGCAATGTAAGAAATATACTAATGAATTATTTAAATGTTTCATTAAGAGTTTACCCACTCAAAAATTGAGTTGCACCTGGTGCAAGTTAGACCAATAACTAGGTTTCACTTTGTAATATTGGGTTGCACCAGTGCAAGTAACAAAGCACTAAATCGAGCCCTGCCAATGCATTACCATCTAACCTAGTATCCCTGGGAAGAAGGCTGCTCTTCACACAAACATTCATACAAGCATTCATTCAATTCATTCTATACTAGTAGTCATTCAAAACAATCCGGCACATAAATATCAACAACTGAATGAATACATGTCTGTTCCAACTTACCAGCACCAAACATGCCTCCAATGTAAGCGTGTCGTTCATCAAAACCCTTATGGACTATGGAGTTTGTGAAAGGAGACCCATGGAACAGCAGCCTCTCGTTAGGGTGTCCATGGTTCTCTTCCCCCACCTCCTTGCGACGGTGACAGTATCGCTCCCACAGTCGCTTGTTACGAACTTTCTGGATCTGGGAAGTGAAGTAAAACTTCATTAGTTCTGGTTAAAACCCGTGAAGATCCGGGTTAGAATATTGATCTTCAGTAACCCATGCTTGTCGTAAGAGGCGACTAGCGGGATGCTGGGTCAGGCTCGCTGTCTTGGTAGACATGTCATCGGTTCCCAATTGCGTAGATCGATGCTCATGCTGTATATCACTGGATTGTCTGGTCCAGACTCGATTATTTACAGACCGCCTCCATATAGCTGAGTGTGGTGTAAAACTAAACTCACTCACTAGTTCTGGTTAAAGACATTAAATTATATCCAATGAATACTCTCTTTTTTCACATCTACAGGTCCAAAGATAAAGTATAAATGGTTATAATCCAGTTGATAATCTCACTCCTGCATATTCCATCAATTTTTAAAAGTAAAATGAAGTGAACCATCCAAATCAGGTGGTAGAAGTCCATATTATTTTAAAATGTATATAAATTACCTTCAGAATGTTATATTTATTGAAGATACCTCCCACGCTGTCCTTGTGGTCTCGAATAGTGCTCTGCATCTGCAAAGAAAGTTGACAATGTTACATGATAAGGTTTAAATAAGAGCAATACAGCACTTGGCTGACAAAATATTTACTAGTTAAATTGTATAGTGTTTTTCAATTAGTATTAAATATACACTGGCCACAGCATGCAATCTCAAGTACATAAATCTACACAACTTCCATCATTCAGATCTCAATACTGATGGTTATGGTTACAAATACCTTAAAACAAAGCATGATTACAGAAGACAGTATTCCAATGCCACTAATTAGAATCTTATGCCCTAAACTTTCTTTTGGTCCATTAAGTTCTGCTCTTAATTATCAGTGCTCAACTCCACATAAGGTTTTGATGTCTTCTGACCTTGAAGGTTTTGGACACATTTTTACACAATCTATGATAGTCAATACAATGACCATGTCAACAAGTAGCACATCAGCCACCAAAACTTAATGAATCCTACCTGTTCCTCCACAGAGATGTATTCCGGGTCATCAGGGGTGAGGTCTATGAGGACAGTTCCTGAGCTGGACACTCCTGATACTACGGCCGCACCTGCAGATCAACATAAACGTGATGTACAGGACTGACTGACTGACTGAGTTTGGTTTTATGCCGCTTTTAGCAACATTCCAGCAACATCACGGGCGGGGGACACCAGAAATGGGCTTCAAACATTGTACCCATGTGGGGATTCGAACCCGGGTCTTCGGCGTGACGAGCCAACGCTTTAACCACTAGGCTACCCCACCGCCCTGATGTACAGGACCACAGTGGGATACTCCACTCTGAACACACAGAGGTGTACCATATACTATGGTGGCCTATCGCCCTACCCCTCCTAATACAGCTTGTATGCATGGTGTAAAACTGTTGTTGGTGACGTTGCACACAGCAATATTCAAGCTATTTGGCAAATAACCCAGGGATCAACAGCATAAGCATCGATCTACACAACTGGGATACTATGACATGTGTCAACCAAGTCAGTGAGGCGGACCACCTGATCCCGTTAGTTGCCTCTTCGACAAGCATGGGTTGTTGAAGAGCAGTTTTACACCATGATGGGATTCAATTCCCCTTCGAATATACAACTTGTATCCATAACAACTGAACCATGATGTACAGAACCACAGCAAAATATAACTCCCACATCTACACCTCATATTGCTTGTCTTTGTCGTCCAACATCGTGAGTCAGTGAGTCAGATGATACAGTAAAATCATCAGAGTGAGTGAGTGAGTGAGTGAGTGAGTGAGTGAGCGTCACAAGAACAGAGATTATACAGTCATAGCTTTACGTCGCACTCAGCTGTATTCCAGCTATATGGCGGCAGTCTGTAAATAATCGAATCTGGACCAGACAACCCAGTGACCAACACCATGAGCATCAATCTGTACAATTGGGAACCGATGACATGTGTCAACCAAGTCAGCGAGCCTGACCACACAATCCCATTAGTCATCTCTTATGACAAGCGTGGGTTACTGGAGATCAATTCTAAACCCGATCTTCATGGGTGGGATGTATCATGACAGTACTGTTGCATATCAATATGAGAAAGCACATCAACCTTTGCTTCTGAGGATTGCAACAAACAAATGTCCCTCATAAGTCAAAGCTGTCGTTTGACAAACAAAGAATTAGGCACATGTATTACAGCCTTAACTGACTGAGTTTAGTTTTAAGCCGCTTTTAGCAATATTCCAGCAATATCATGGCGGGGGACACCAGAAATGGGCTTCACACATTGTGCCCATGTGGGGAATCGAACCCGGGTCTTCGGCGTGACGAGCCAACGCTTTAACCACTAGGCTACCCCACCGCACCATTACAGCCTTAAAGTAGGTTAACACAACATGTGGTGGAAACATCTTTTGTGACAGCAATCTGATCATCAGGGCATGGAATTGATTCCAGATGTTTGGATCAGCAACCTAGAAGGAAGCAGATGGTTGGCAGTGTTTCTCCACACAGCAAGAACCAGGTTCCTGTAGCAAGTCCTGTAGTGACTGTAGCAAGACATCATCACTTTGTGACTGCCATCACACCTGCAGACCTCTGGACCAGTGGAGTGAGTGAGTTTAGTTTTACACTGCACTCTGCAATATTCCAGCTATATTGCAGCGGTCTGTAACTAACAGAGTCTGGACCAGACAACTGGACCAGTGGAGCACAAGGTGATGTTGGTGTTTCTACTCAGTGTGTAATTGTTTCTGTGAGGCTAGTCTCCAGTCATGGAGAGCATGCACTGGCATCTCCCTCACCCATCAACACAGGCAAGCATGTTTGGAATTGGCTGAAGATGTCAGTTGGAAAGATCAGAGTTGGGCTCCAGTGTTTTCAAGATACTTCACAGATCATCTTGTCAAAGTGTGGCATAGACAAGGAGAGAGATTTCAGGATTCATATAGCTGACCTACTACGGATCAGGGGCTCAATCAAGAATTGGGGTGGGATAAGTACAGCTTGTACAATTTGACCAAAACCTCTTCCACTTGGATGATAACAAACAACCTTGTGGTGCCAGGACTTTTATGCCTACTTCTGGTCACATGTTAGATATTTTGTAGCACATGACAACATGCTTTGGTTCATTAAACATTTTCACGAAATACTGTCATCAGCTATTCCAGGCACACACAACTTGATGGTTTTCCTTTTAATAATAGTGAAACTTGGAGGAGTATATACAACAGTACTGAGTATAAAGGTAACCCAACAACATGATTGGTAGTGTAAGTATCTGTTCACAAGGTACAATGGCACAAGATTGGTCAGGCCACTGATGAGGGTGTGTGTCTCAACAGCCATCATAACACATTACTACAATAGTCAAAAAGATGATTTCTCACCAACCATCTGACAGCTTTCTCCAGTGATATAGAAAATACAGGAAGGTTGAGTTTTAGTTAGATTTTAGCAATATTACAACCATATCTTGGCAGGGGACACAAGTAAAGGTGAATCGAACAATGAGAGGAAGGAACCGGGCACAAGCCAGGGGTTTTGAAAGGCAGGGCCATGGGCCATTTTGCACATTAGAATAAAAAATGGCCCATTAAAATCTTGCAGTTTACTATTGATACAAGGGCAGTAAAATTCAGAAAATGTCTAATAATCCTGAAAATGACCCATTGTCAAAGTTCTCTATCCCAATCCCTGACAAGCCCCAATCAGTTTAAATATGGTATCCAGCAGAGTTGTTTGGTCTTGCAAAATGTCATCACCATTTTGGCTAGCAGATATTCTGGGTAAACTTCCATCCCTGCAATGGTTCTTCAGCATGAAAATCCTTCCTTTGCTTAAACCACTCCACCAACCCTCTGCCCTTTGTTTGGAACCAGGACAAATTCTTAGTACAAAAAAAACAAGGGCAAATTATTACCAGCGGGGGGTTGAGTTCATATTTCATTTATTTCAATTCATTGATTGTTTGTGTGTTGATCGTGTGTAGGATTACCTGCACTAACCTCACATTACATAACTGGTGCACTGGTACATACCTTTGGTAGAGATGAGCTTCTCCACACCCTTAAGTATTTTGTGCCTGTGACCATAAGCGTTAATGCCAATGTCTTTCAACTCTTCATGTCCCATTTCAACCAAAATGTCCATTGTAATTTGTTCCTTTTCAAAAATATCTCGGAGCTGCTCGAGTCCAATTGATCCCAGGAATGCCATGACACTAACAGCTTCGATGCTTCTCTCGCCTTCTCCAATAGACCTCTCCATGTTACATCCGTCGCCAACCTGCGGACTGCCTCCCACGGCACCAGCAAACCCATCCGAGCTGCTGTTGAGAAGACTGCTGAAAGAAAGATAACAGTAACATTAGATTCATTATAACACAAACTTTATGGATAACAACTTCTTCTATTTTGTGAGTGAGACGGTTCCATACAAACTTCCTGCTTGACAATGTCACAAGAATCTGTATTAAACGTCGCATGGATGTCTGTTCAATATTGTACATCCCAACTTCTAAAATGCCACTCAAAGATGTTAGATTCATTATGTTGGTGGATATGAGCAGTTCGTAACAAGACCATCAGCAATTATTGCAAAAGGTATTCAACTGACTGCTAAAAACTAATAGCATCAAATACAGAAGCATTTGAAACTAGAATTAAAACATGAAGAACCACCAATTTGAACAGAATTTATTTTCTGGATTGAAAACTTCGGACATGCTCACTGAAACAGACATTTTAACATATTCCTGACAACAAATTTGATACCAAGGCACCATGTGGTGGAGAACAGATCAACATGCTTACTTGCTGGAGGAGGAACTGCTGCTGGTGAGGTTGCCTCCACTACTGCTTCCTCCCCCGACCTGGGCCTTGGGGACACTTGGCGGCATCTGCACTGGTGGCATGGCATCCTGGAGGAGGGCTCGCACATCGTCCGCCTGAGAGGAAAATACTTTAGTATCAGTAGAGTCAAACTTTTGATTTGCTTGGTTTGTATGGCCTGCACTAAGAAATATTTCTTCAATATGACTGCGGCCTGTAAATAATCCAAGCTGGTCCAGTCAAACTAGTGGTATTGGGTCCAATGATCCATGCCATCATCAGACTTACTGACTGACTGAGCTTGGTTTTACGCCGCTTTTAGCAATATTCCAGCAACATCACGGCGGGGAACACCAGAAATGGGCTTCACACATTGTACCCATGTAGGGATTCGAACCCGATCTTCTGCATGACGAGCCAACAGCCATCATCAGAGGAGAGTGAGAGAATGAGCTCATAATGGCAGGGACACTAGAAATAGGCTTGAAACATTGTACCCATTGTATCTTCAGCATGATCTTCAGAAAAGAAATAAAATGCTTCCTTTCTACGGTTTGTTTTACTAGGGATAAGGAGGAAATATTTCAACTTACCGTTGCAAGATCCAGAGGTGACTGGCCTTCCTGGTTCTTCATGGTGGGATCTGCTCCATGGGCAAGCTGGAATGTAACAGGTCAACTTGTCAATGCCACAAGTCATACATCAAGAAAATAAGAACAACTCCATCAGGTATTAAATAAATGCCAAATAAAACAATACTCATTACATCTCTCCTAAATCATCTTAATAATCATCAAAACCATCACTAGACAAGTAATTAGGAAAGGGGAGTAACCATAATTCTAACACTGCAAATTATCTCCCCTTGATCGATTTCAAATACACAGCTGTACCAAATCAGAATCAATTGTTCAGACAGCAGCTTTTGAATGAAAAGGTGTATATTATGGTCGTTTTGAATCATATCCTTTCAGTAATTTCAACTAACAATATTTTTCAATATTCAGTGATGTCTTTGTGCTGTGACACGCTAAATGTGACACCATATTTTTAAGCAGGTGACATTTGAAACACAGCTGTTTTGGACTAGCAGCTGTTTGTTGAGCGTTGGACAAGTCAGGACAAGACAATCCAGTGATCTACATATTGACCTATGTGACTGGCATACAGTGGCATGCACAAACACCTGATCTCGTTAGTTATGACGAACATGGGTTGCTGAAGACCAATTTTAACCCAGATCTTCATGGGTTGACCGACGTGAGAATCAGCTGACACACAAATACCACTTACCAGCAGGGAACAGAGCTGAGTCCGTCCTTTCTGTGCAGCTTCATGGAGAGGTGTAAATCCCCATCTGTCTTGAGCATTAACACAGGTGTTGAATTTGATTAGTAGAGCAGCTATTTCTACATGCTGAAAGATGAACAAACACAGGTGAACATTAACACCTAATACTGGTCTACAAGGGTTCCATGAAGTAACATTATCATTTTGATTTCGTTTTACACAGTTTTAGTCCACAAATAACAGGTCATGATTTATTCACAAATATACAGCATCTCCATTAGGTGAAAGAATCCAGAGTAAAAGATTGTGCCAGCTATATGACAGCGGTCTTACCCCATAAGAAGATGCATTGTGGAGAGGTATGAGTCCACCTTTGTCCTGGGCGTTCACATCAGCTCCATTCTCCAGTAGGAACTCTGCAACTTCTACGTTGTTGTAGCCAGCTGGAACAGATTCTAGAATTAGCACATTGTTGCATTTCCAGTCTTCAGTGTTTGCAGATGTTAGTGTTAGCACATTGTAGAGTTGCAAGTTGAAGTGTTGGCAGTTTGTGAGTTTAGTTTTACGCTGCTTCAACAGTATTCTAGCAATATCACAGCAAGGAACACTAGAAAAGGGCATCACACACTATGGGTAATTGAACCCGGGTCTCCGGTGTGACGAGCGAACAATTTACCACTAGGCCTCACCACCACCACTGGCAGTTTGTGGTATTGGTAGATTATTGGTATAGCTGTAAAGGTTCTCAGAAAGAGGCAAATTCAGTAGTATGCAACATAGTATGAGTAAATTACAGTTCTAAAGTTTATGCTTTAGATAAATGACAGCTTTGTCAGTATTCTGAAACACAAATACAGACTTCACATCTTAAGGACATCTCCGTCCGCCTCCGTGGTGTAGTGGTTAGAGCGTCCGCCCGGAGAGAGGAAGGTCGCGGGTTCGATCCCCAACCGCGTCATACCAAAAGACTTGTTGGTCCCTGCCTGGCTCTCGGCGTTAATGGGTACGACAAGGACTGGTCTAATCGGAGTCAGTATAATGTGTCTGAGTGGGGTATTCATGCTTCACTGCGGCATGGTATCTCAGTGGGCTAGCACTATAAAACCAGCTTCAGTCTGGGCTAGTACAAGCAGCCGCACATACACATACATACACACGCATGCACGTTGTCATATGAGCGAAATATTCTCAAGCATGACGTTAAACCCAATTTCACCTCACCTCACCACCTTAAGGACATCTTAAAGACATCTCAACCATGCTGATCGTATCTCCATCCTCCCCACTGACATCATTAAATACCATTAAATCACAAACATCAAGCCTCCTCATGTGAGCAATGCAACAATGTTGATGAGTGATCCCACCTGCAAGATGTAAAGGTGTGGAATTTCTGCCCTGTGTGTCCCGACAGTTGATATTTTCCTGGGATGCAAGTTTCTGTACTCTGGCAAGGTTCCCCTTCTTTGCAGCTTCCAGCAATGCAGCATCGCCTGAACAATGTAACACATTATGTAAATAACAAGCAGTTGTAACTAAGGTGACATAATCCCCTGCCGCAAATTATCAAATCAAACTTAAAAGTAATGAAAGTGAAGGTCGTAGTTTAAGATGAAGTTAAATGTCAACAAAAACATGACCAGTCAATCTCTCTTGATATCTTGCCCTGTAGCTGTTCAAACACACAAATATTTTCAAGACTCACTTTGACCTTGACATGAATCTCATGGTGTATGAAATATGCAAAAAATAGTCATTGACAAATTGCTTATTAAAAAACATTTAAGAGAAAATCCAGTGTACCGTTCTTGATGACATTCTTAACATACTGAAATCTTCAAAGTGTCACTGTGACCTTGAAAATTACATGACGGTCACCAAACTCGACTGGGCCCTGCACCTTCCCTATATGAAGCCTGGTGTCAAATACGATGAAAATCCAGTGAATGGTTCTTGAGGTATCTCGCTGACAAGTTTAACATGCATGTTAACATGCTGAATTCTTCAAAGTGTTGCTGTGATCTTGAAAATTCGTGAAGGTCACCCTAATCAACTGGGCCCTGCGCCTTCCTATATGAAGCGTGGTGTCAAATATGAAGAAAATCCAGTGAACGGTTCTTGAGATATCTCGCTGACAAGGGTAAAACGTTAAAGTCCCCTTGTGACCTTGAAATGAATGGGGCCTTTCTTATACTGTGATGAACATAGGTACCAAGTATGAAAAGAATCTAATCAATGGTTCTTAAGATATACCAATTCGCATGTATGTACAGACAGAGCCTAATACTATATCCCCCGCTTCGCACTAAACGCGCTGTGGGAGATAAATATCAAATACCCACAAAATATATCAGTGAGTTTGGTTTAATGTCGCTTTCAAAAGTATTCCAGCATCAGATAGTGTTGGGTTAATGTAAAGGGATGAAAATGGGTATGAGTGAAAAAAGAGGAAAATGAGCGGGGGCTCTTGGGGGCCAGTGCCCAATACCAGATCCAAGGTGAAGCTCAATCAAATCCACAGATCCACAGAAAATTCTCATCCCTGAATGTAGGAGGTCTCATTTGTTTTGCATTTTGGAGAAATCCACAAGCACTGGAAACATTCAGGAGCTATTATGACATCCCATTTATGTCTGTGTCACTACAAAACCTATGACGAAAACCCTTCCTGCCGTTACATCCTGAGTAATCGCCCTGTGAAGATGCAGATTCATTTTTATGTTCAGCAACATTTGCTTGAAAAGTAAGTAAGTATGGTTTTATGTTGCTTTTAGCAATATTCCAACAATATCACAGTAGGGGACACCTCAAATGGGCTCCACACATTTTACCCATTTGGGGAATAGAACCTGGGCCTTTGGCATGACGAGCAAACGCTTTAACCACTAGGCTTTCCTATTGCCCCTTTGCTTGATGAAAGACCAACTAACAGGATTGGGTTGTCAAACCTGACAACTCGGTTGATGCAAGTTTGATGCTCATGGTATTAATCACTGGATTTTACAAGCTGACATCAAACTGCAGGACTATTGGTTAGTGATGCACTACAGAAAACAAAGACTGTTGTTTACCTCGGAGAAGATCTGCCACATCCTGGTCCCCTTCCTTCACAAGGTCCAGTGGAGTATGTCCATCTCGGTTCTTCTTGTTAGGGTCAGCTCCATGCTGATTTATAACAAAACACCAACTGTTAACCCTTTCTCTTTCAACATGAGAGCATAACCATGTCCACAGTAGAGCTGCCTACAGTCAGCAACAACACATTCCTGGGAGAAAATATACTACTCAAAAAAATCAGAGAACACTCTATCCTCACTTTCTCTCAAACCTGGGTACCTAGTCATGTGAAAGGGAGGTGTTCTTCTTTCATTTAAGTACTTTATTTGTTTGCAAAACATTTTTTAAACCTAAAGGAAATGCTGGTGCAGAAAAATATCATGTAAAATTAATTTATTATCATATAATTTTTTTGCTACTTCAATTTCTTAATTAAATTGAATATGAAAACATCTTGCCATATTTATCGCTAACACCTGCAAAAACCTAAAAAACGTGTCGTCTTCAAGGAGCAAGTCAAATCCTCACTCACAAAGCCAGTAGTTTCTCACCTTCAAAAGCAACTTGCAGATTTCAAATTTGCCTTTTGAAGCAGCTTCATGTAAGGGCGTGAACTTCCACAGGTCTGCAACATTTACACATGCTCCATGCTGCAAAACAGAAGACATAAATATATATGACTTTTGACTGATCTATCATCAAAATCTTTTGTCATCACCATACAGCTTATCTGAAATATCCCTTGCAAACAGAATTTTATGATGACCACACATTGTGATCAACATCAAAATAAATAAGGCATTGCTATAATTTCTGAGAATGTCAATAACAGGATTTGTCTCTCCTTAATACTTTAATTGCCTATATTTCATCCCACTGGGACAAAAATGAACGAAACAGCTAATATAAACTCATACATAGCATTAACATTTGGCTCTAATCTGCTTGTATCAGATATTATGTACAGAAAGCACTGCTATTAATCAGGACAGAGTGGAATAAAATGCAAATGTTGAAAGGTTAAACATGATCTGGTGTATTACATGTCAGAAACCTGTCATTCATGTGATTTCTTTTTCATCTGAGAACAAAACATTCACTTCAAAATCAATTTGGGCATTATCTCTGTGACTTGAAACATGAATTATATCAAATTTTGACGTTGCTTTTAATGATAAAGTATTGAGTTAACTACTATTTGAAAGATGTTTGATAGGCATTTATAAGTTGGTAGGGTAATACAAGACACTTGATATCCTTCATCAGGGGATGAATACACTTGCCCCTTCATCAGGTACTGTTTGTGAGTGAGTGAGTGAGTGAGTGAGTGAGTGAGTGAGTGAGTGAGTGAGTGAGTGAGTGAGTGAGTGAGTGAGTGAGTGAGTGAGTGAGTGAGTGAGTGAGTGAGTGAGTGAGTGAGTGAGTGGTGGTGAGTGAGTGGTGAGTGAGTGAGTGAGTGAGTGAGTGAGTGAGTGAGTGAGTGAGTGAGTCAGAGTGAGTAAGCCTGAGTATTTGATGGAGTGTCTGGCCGAAAATATGTATGGTGTGAGTGAGTGGCACAGATATTTGTAATAAGCTGTTGCTACTTGTGCTGACGGACATATATAATCATCATCAGGGTGAATCTGAAACAGTGCCACTCCTTTCCCAACAAATAAGATATAATTTCAACTGACCTTGATGAGTAACTCTGTGACTTCAAAGTGGCCATAGGAGCATGCGTTGTGTAGAGGCACAAGTCCTCCCTTGTCCTTGGCGTGTACGTCAGCTCCTTGCTGTAGCAGGTACTCCACAACACTGACACGGTTGTAGCCTGCGGCAAAGTGCAGCGGCGTCGAGTGGCGGCCATCAACATCACGACAGTTAACAGCATGGGGGTTGGTGGCCACAAGCTTCTAGAAGGAAATGCAAAGTTGATGAAGCGATAAAAACTAAATATGACCATTATATATATCCATGGTTTTAGTAACTTTCAAGGATCATCACAGTTGCCTCAGGGAAACCAAACACAGCACCAACACAGGTATTCATGTTGAGAATCAAACCTAGATCTTTCACAAGAGAAGCTAACACTAATCTACTATCATACCGCCCCCATCATTATGTCATCCTGGTATTCTTTTTGGTGTTCTTGTGCTACACCTGCTACGTCCTAAAGAATGGTCCCGTAAAGATTCAATGATGAAAGACAATATCAAACTCATCCACATAAAACCCATCATATATAATGCAGATGTAATCATTCATCAAATGGTTTGATCAGTTTGGTGACAGACGTTTTAGCTAATACAAGGCCCTGGATTCGATCAGTCTGATGTATGGGGGTATCAAATAACAAGAGCATCAGACATCTAAAAGTAGTTTTGCTGGGTAGATGATGCAGGAATGATCTGTTGTCCTGTATGGTATCAAATGACACAAGATTACCTAAGCATCTTGATATGTACTTTAACATGCACAAAGTGTGGTGATACATATCACAGGGATACATATCTGGTGTAGGGTTTCCTCCGGAACTGGTAACCCTAATTACTTATTAATTTCATACTAACAACTGCATAGACAAGTACATCAAGTTACTGCAGTCAACCAGTTTCAGCTATTTACATTCATGTTTAACTACACAATGGAGCCATACAGACACAGGTTCAAGGTTATGACACTTAAATGTTGAAGGATACTCAATCATTGAAAATGTCAAGCATGTCCAGAAATAAATCGGGAAAAATACATTTAACCATATACATTGGTGACTTGCACACCTTAACCATTTCCATATCCCCAGCCTTTGCTGCCTCCAGTAACTGGTAGTCAATGTCCGTTCCTCCGACAGGTGGGTCCTCTGAAAACACAAGCATGGTCACAGGTGATTTCTCCATGGTGTCAACAAAAACATTGTGGGTAATGTCACATGTTGGTTGTGTTGTTTAACACCTCAAATCAGCAATATTCCAGCTATATGGCTACTGTCTTTAAATAATCCAGCCTGAACCATACAATCCAGTGATCAACATAATGAGCATCAGTCTACACAACTGGGTTACGATGACATGTGTCAACCAAGTCAGTGAGCCTGATTACCAAATCCCGTCAGTCTCCTCTTACGACAAGCAAGGGTTACTGAAGATTTTCACAGGTAAATGTCATGTGATCAAAGTTATTTCGGTATTTAATGTCACAGAGTTGCAGTTATTAATATACTGGTCCCGGAAAATGTTTGTACTGTCAGAAATAATATCTGTATGTCCTGTTGTAGGCTACTTCTGTAAATACTACCAAGCTAATATCTTTGTGGTGATGAGCATTAGCTGGTTTGATAGAATTTATCTGAAGTAAGGTCTAGTCCGAGACTAGAATTACATAGGAACTTGGGACATTTCCATGTGAACTTCCACTGATGAATTTTACAGACAAGTTCAAATAAACTTTGCTAACCCTAAATAGTGAAAAAGAACGAATTAATAAAACCAACACACATACAGTGAATTTCAAAGCTGGTAAAATTCTGTTTGGTTTGGCACTAGTCCATGACAAGAACACAAAAATCTGGGAACATTAACTTTAAACGTAAAAGAATAGGGATAAACTAGAGTTGGAAATCTGCTTACCAATGAGTAGTCTCTGGATGTTTTCTGTGGCGAGCTGGGCGGCCGTGTAGCCCTGGAGTGACACTATACTGGGGTCAATGCCATATGACATCAGCAGTCTACACGCCTGCATGTTACCCTGTTGCCCCACCCGGTGCAGCGCTGTCTGGCCATGGCCGTCTAATGCATTCACCTGAAATGTCAAATATACATGTATCTATATATCGCTGTGTCAGGATCTCCAAATTAATATTTAACACAAAGAAAGTCAATATTCCCTCATGTTTGTTGTTCAATGCTTTACTGAGCAATAATGCAGCTATACAACAGTGGCATGTAAATAATCAAGTCGGGGCCAGACAAACCAGTGATTGATATTCTGAGCAATAACCCATGTCATCCAACCACCTCATGGAATCTGATCACTTGATCCAAAACACTGATCCAGTATGGGTTCCTGGGAATTCCCATGTCAGTAAACATTTGTGAAGTAAGGTACTAACTAGGTATCAACACATACAACATGGAAAGGGGAAAAACATCACTGAGTTAAAGCAGACTAGTATAAAGACTCAAAGTTTCTTCTAAACATTTCCCTTCTAAATGCAAAAACAAATCCAGATGAAGTCCAGAGCACTACCTTCAAGTCAAGAAGTCTAGATCTGCCAAGTCATTCAGGCTTGGTCTGGATACATTTTTCAACATATTCTCCAAAGTATGGGCCACCGACTACAGTCAACTTCTGGTTGGCCACGAGATGGACAATAACTACCAGTAAGTAATGTTACAGCATAGCAGCATCAACATGGTCAACCCATTAACCTACACTTGATATTGTTCTCATAACTCCTGCTGCTACCTACCTTGGCTCCATGTTTGAGGAGGACATCCATCACATCATAATGGGCCTTATCTCCAGCAATATGTAGTGGTGTCAAGTAGCTGTGGGGGAAACAGTATGTTACTTACATGAACTATGTAGGTATGTTATGGGACCTTATACATGAAATTTGCTTAAGGTTGGACATTACCTTTTGTAGTATATATTTATTTCACACATCCTTATCTAATTTTTGTTTTACTATTTTTGTATTATTAATCTTTTAAGCAGAATGAAAAAGATACATCACAGCATGCAATCCACTCCAAATCACACAGCTTCTATGAAGTTTAAGTGAATTCATGAATGAGCATGATTTTCCGTCACCTTTAGCAGTATTCCAGGAATATCACAATGGGCTTCACACATTTTATCCATGTGGGGAATCAAACCCAGTGTGATGAGCGAACACTTTAACCATGAGGCTAACCGACCATCCCTATGAGAAATGTAATTACACACAAAACAATTCATCAGACTCACTCTTTGTTTTTATCGTTGAGGTTAGCTCCCTTCCTAATGAGCTGCTCCACCACCTGTTTCCTCTTCGGGAATGGTGAGGCTGCCGCACAGTGCTGCAAAACAACAAATAATTCCCAAATGAGTCTTCCAAAAACAGCCAAATAAATGTCAAGTTCAGCTGCACATTTCTTGAATGACAGAAGGTAACATTTTTCCCCAAAATATATGTCAACTATCGAAATATTGTCTTCCTTTCCAGTCAAATGGGTGAGTGAGAGAGTGTAGTTTTATGCCACTTTTAACAATCCAGCACAATGACGGGGAGGGACACCAGAAATGGGCTTCACACATTGTACAAGAAGAGAATTGAACCCAGGTCTTCGGTGTGAGAAACACCACTTTAACCACTTGGCTACCCCATCCCCCTCCACTCAAATGATAAGCTGATACTTCCTTAAGTGTTTGTATAAATACATCCAAATGTGACATGTGGCTCTCAAGTTCCATAAGAGAACACTTAAACACTGATTACTCTGAACACTGGTTAGAATTGGTGTCCATCAACCAATGTTGGTAGTATTAGGAGACAGATTGAGCGGAAAACCTCAGCAACATGCTTGAACATCAGGTTGTTTATACAACAAACACAATAAACAGTTTTCAATACACTCTTCATAAATTGTACCAGCTGACCTACCATCTTCATCAGGTCAGGGAAACAAACTCATACTATAACATCACTTCCAACAGACTACCTACCAGAGCTGAATCCCCTGTGTAAGGATGCTTGAAGTTGACGACATCCATGGTCAAATATTTCTTCACCCTTGCCAAATCTGACTGTCTTGCTCCCTCCAGTAGTGAATGGCCCTTGTATTCAACTGTAACAGGGAAAGGCATTGAAAACACTAACTTTAACAGGCAGGTCATATAAGACATTGCTATAATACATCACGACAAATACTACACGAAAGCAAGCATAAAGCACGCCCTGATCAAGGTTTTACGGTGCATTACAAATCTAGGAATCTAGATGACCCCTAATGGCTATTTTCATGGTTACAGGAAATACAAGGTTCCTGTACAGTAATGAAATGGTTAGTGACCTAAACTGTGAGATGAAATAATCACATTGACATTTTTGTTGAGAATTCAGTACAATGAATATCGTTGTGCTCTGCACAATTCTATTTTCCGCCTCCATTACAACATGTTTGTGCATACTGGATGTACTTTTCTGCAACATATAAAACCATGCACAGCTTTGAATCTAATACATATATCATGGCCATGTAAACTTTCCTCATACTCACACTGTAGTCTCTCCTGCAGCTCACGGGTGGGGGCGACGTCCAACGCACTCTTGGAATGACAGTTGACGAGGGTTGGATCTGCTCCGTGAGACAGGAGAAGCGAGCACACTTCTACACGTGACTTGGATGCTGCTTCATGGAGTGGAGTGAACTGCCATAGGTCCATGGCATTAACACTGGCACCAGCCTGTAACCACATTGGGTTGTATCAGTATAACTTCAGATCATGTAAAATACGTTATATTTGGGATTACATTTTCTCAGTACAGATTCTAGTGCTTTTGGTGGGGGATGAGGCCCATCCGGGATTTGAACCCAGACTCAACATTTGCACCTGTATCTTCTCAAAATACAACAGCGAACACACTCACCTTCAATAGCATCTCTGTGACCTCAAAATGACCATAGGAGCAGGCATTGTGCAAGGGGACAAGGCCACTGAAATTCAGAAATAACGCATGTTCATGACTCATGGAACAAGTGTCTTACTGAATGCAACATTCCAACAGGATAGTAACTGGGCTAATTATCTTCGATAAAATGTTTAAAAATGTAAAAATCTCCAAAAAAGATCATTAGAGATGAAACATTTGACACAAGATATGTCTGAGACCATAACCAAAAAACAACTGCTTTCATTTCTTCAGAATGTGTACAGCTTTAGCTAGTGTTCAGCAATTATCTGACAACGGAGCTGAGTTTCCAACACTGTACACATGCGCATTTATAAACAAACCAAGATGATGACATTTGTTTGTGCGACTTTCTCAAATCAAAGTTTCACAGTAAACTGGGCATTTGAAGGTAAGGAATGAATTCGAATAGGTGAGTGAGTGAGTGAGTGAGTGAGTTTAGTTTTACACCACTTTTAGCAATATTCCAGTCATATCATGGCGGGGGACACAGAAATGGGCTTCACACATTGTACCCATGGAATTCAAACAGGGGCACAAAAAAGAATAATTTGTGTTTAATCATGGTACTTACCCCTTGTCTTTGGCATGCACATCAGCTCCATGCTGCAGCAGCAGCTGCACTATCCTGGTTCGATTGTAGCCTGCTGCTAGATGGAGTGGAGTGGACTGTGGACGAAATGGTAACAATGATCAAGTGAATCCTGTTCAATGCTGCAATACAGAGATCAAGTTGGTTGTTGTTGTTTAACGCTGCACTCAGCAATATTCCAGCTATATGGCAGCGGTCTGTAAATAATCAAGTCTGGATCAGACAATCCAGTGATCAACAGCATAATGATCATATTATGCAATTGGGATATGATGACATGTCAACCAAGTCAGCGAGAGAACATGTCAGCCTGCAGTCTGAAACCATGCATGCCTTGACATTCAACCCTCGGGTGAAACATTCAAGCATGGATTGGTGTTGCCATCCCCGAAAACATATCAAACCACGATTCGAAACCATGATCTTAGGTTTCTGGTGTTATAGAACCGATTCTACATAAACCATTGCAGAAACGACTATTGGACTATTATGCGGTACATGCGAACACTTTCTACGAATTATTCATTTCATTATCCAGTTTCAGTTTGGGGTTTCTTTTCGAAGATCTTTCACTTTAACTAAGTATTGATCCTGTGTTCCTTACAGTGACAAAAGTATCTATTTACTTCATGAAGTCTTTAACTTAAATAACATGCATACATTAGAATTCCCTGATTCCCAGTACCAATCTGGTTACATCCCAAGTGACCTACCTTCCTGCCATCACTGGCATGACAGTTGACATTGAGAGGAGTTAGCAGTGACATGAGCTTCTCCTCGTTGCCGCTCCGTGCCGCCTCCAGGAGCTCATCTTTCTTGTATTCCCCTGGAGAAATAGGATAGTATCAGTAAGTGGTTTGCTGACAGCTTCTTAAAAACCACTCCTCACATGCTAATCCTGGACATAATGAGTCCAAGAAACCCTGCTTTCCAAGGATGACTGTCTTCATGCATACTACTCAATTTGTGATAGGGATAATCAGATGTCACTGTTTAAACAGGTTGTATAATGACAATCATTTTGAGTATCATGGAAAGAGATACTGCTATCAATAGTAGTATAGCACATATCACATCTGTGACAATTGGCAATTTATTTCGGTATGGCGGCCACATGACCTAAAGTGCATTTAATTTTAAAGTACAGAAATATTGTGCACAGCGGTACCAGAGGTACAGATAAGTTGCGTATCTGCGTAAATTACGCAAATATTTATGTGAAAACTCAATTCCTATTAAGTCTATTGCGTACAAGTACGCTTGAATTTTGGTAAATACTCAATAAATGTGATCTTACATGCGTACACATGAAAATGACAAATCTTAGCTTGCGTACCGGTGGATAGATAAAATAACTGAGGTATACTGAGAGGTTCTATTTCAGGACATGAACTTGACAACTTGCAGTCTTTCTTATTGTTTCTCATATCACAGATCAAATATAAATAACAAACACTAACATTTAAACTTTTAAAATTAATGGAAAATGGCAAAATACCCAATTGAGTTTGAGTGAGGTGATTACAATTTATTCGGTTACTCAAAGGAAAATTAGGATACCCAATTGAGAGTACACAAGCGAGTACATAACTCAATGACCCAAAAGTTATCTGTAGCTCTGGGTACAAGGTAGATAAGATATACTTGTAGTACTGTGGAAATGCTATAGCTCATATTGGCAGATTTCTCAGATAAATACTTAAGAATAGTAATATATGCTCACATATACTTTGTGTACATAGAAAGATAAGGCATTAGTGTCAAGCATTACATCATAGTCTTAATTATTCTTAACATGTTGACTGCCTTTTACGAGTATACTCGTATCAATTCTGGCCAAATTTGCCACTATGAGAAATGTCTCCTGGCGTTCTTTGCTACCGTCAGGAGACAATTGCTTCTTGTGCCTGTTTGCCAACATGTGAAACTTGTTTCAAAATACCATTGATGTAGCTACGAGATAACTCATAGTGGCAAATTCGCCAGACATGGATACTACGAGTATACTCGGGTGGCAGTCAACATGTTAATCTTAAGGTTTATGTTAATTTTAATTCAGATGACTCAGCTGATGATTTGTGATGATGATTCAATAGTTTCACTGTACATATTCACTGTAAAGAAACATCTTTTCACCAGAATGAAAAGGAATTTTAAATTTCTATATCATACACATGTACACAAAGGCTTTTTCTTTGCCATGTTTGCTCAAACAGGAAATCAAGTAATCATTTTCTAGAAGAAATGGCACGTGATTTGATAAGATCAACTATAAAAATACCTGTAAGAACTGCCTTAGCTGTGGGGTCGGAGAGGTCGAGAGCTGTTTTCCCATCAGTATTTCGGATATTTGGGTCAGCTCCATGTTGTAATAAAACTGGGAGAAAACGGTCAATGTGTTACCATGGTTACAAGCCAAACAATCATGTCAATCACAAACACATAACTAGAAATTTAGAATTAGTGAGTGTGGTCTTGGCCAGTATTCCCTTGGGATCACAAGATTGAACACCATATACTGTACCAATAAAGGAGGGGTGGAAATAACTTTAAAATTGCTAGTGTACTCCGGAACAGTGGCACATGTAAAATCACTTGCCCTGATCATTTTTCCACTACACCGTCCGTTTTCTTGTTGATTTTTAAAATAAAAAACATAATTAACATTGGAAAGTCAACTGGACATCGGTACAGTGTGATATACAAGTTTGCTTTGCCCGACAGAAAAAACACTGGACTCGGACGTCGGGCAATGGGTTATTTCCACCCCTGTAAAGGGATAGAACCCGGGCATGCTGAAAGAATGCTGTAACAACTAGGCTTCTTGCCCACTCAATACTTAAATCAAAATATATCCTGACTCAAAAAGTGTGGATCAAAAGAGTAAGTTCTGAACAACATTTATCACTTGTGATCAACATCTTGAAATTGAAATTTGTGAGAATACTGAGAGCTTTACATTCCTGATTTTTCAGGTTTCACAGATTAGAAACAGCAATCCTGTCTCACCAATACAGACATCCAGCTTTCCCTTAATGGCCACCTCATGGAGAGGAGTGTAGTTCCAGTTGTCTCGGGCATTGGGGTCCGCCCCTTGTCTCAGCAGCAACTGCACCACTTCCGCATGGCCGAAAGAGCAGGCGTTGTGCAGCGGGATGAGACCCCCATCGTCCTTTGCATGGACATTAGCACCACAGTCCAGCAGGTGCTCTACAACGTCCTTCCTCCCAAAGCCTGCAACAGTGAACAGAAGAGTGTGTCACAAAGACATCTATGTCTTCCTGATATCAAACTGGGTCTTCAGCATAATGAGCAAACACATAAACCATTTGGCTACCCTTGATACAAAGTATATTTTTGGTGATACATATGTAGACTAAATACAGCACCTTCTAACAACTTAATAATTAACAGGGATTTGATTCATAATACTTGACATGCTTTGCAACACAACAAATAACCCATATACTTCTTCAGTCTCTCGGAAACAGTTGGTAATGTGAGTTTTTACATTCATTAAACACATGGATGTGCCCTTTGAGTCTGACCAACTTCACCAAATTCTACATGATTATGAACACATCAACATTGAAACCATTTTATGTGTGTCTTTTTGTCTGCAATCATCAGTTTGTAATCTGATACCAATAACCACTAACGGAAAATTATTAATATTTGATCTCGAATTATAACAAGAAATTCAAACCTATACAAAGAAAACATTCAGATGTTTCAAGAATATACAGCACAGAATTATATGCAGTAATTCAGAAAGATTCCAAAGAGCTTTCTCTTGTGATATCATCGACCACCTCCGTGGTGTAGTGGTAAGAGCGTCTTCCGGAGAGCGGAAGGTCGCGGGTTCGATCCCCGACCGCGTCATACCAAAAGACGTTAAAATATGGTACTTGTTGGTCCCTGCCTGGCACTTGGCATTAATGGGTACAACAAGGACTGGTCGGCTCGGAGTCAGTATAATGTGTCTGAGTGGGGTATTCATGCTTCACTGCGGCATGGTATCTCAGTGGGCTAGCACTATAAAACCAGTTTCAGTATGGGCTAGTACAAGCAGCCGCACATACACATACACACGCATGCAAGTCATCATATGAGCGAAATGTTCTCAAGCACGACGTTAAATCCAATTTCACCTCACCTCTTGTGATATCATCAAAATAACTGTTTAAGAAGTGTAACGAGTTGTGCAATGAGGAATATTTCATACAACAATTGCGAGTCAAACTAAATGTCAAAGGTTATCAAATATTCAACAGAACTTAAAACTCTTCCATTATCTTTCTTCACGCATATTTTGCAATACATTCTGACATTTTACTTCTGCTTGTCACAAATCCCATAAGCTTACTTTCAGCAGTGATTGATAATGGATGTTCAACCTGTTAAAAATGTTGAATTACATGCTAGACCATACAAAGTGGAAACAGTATGCTCAATTATCCAACATTAACCACATCACAACTTTATCGTTGATATTCTCTAAATGGTAACTGAACAGATTACTGGCACATTATTGGTTTATCGGGCCCAACGACAGTGTCACTAGCATGATAAGGATACTTCTTAGAGAAGGTCAATGTGGAAAACAAGCTATAGGAAATCAATTCTACAGATGCTGAAGAAGAAGATAATGATGACAATGCTGCTGCTGCTGATGATGATGATAATAACAATAGTAATAATCTATTTATGTAATGAGTGAGTGAGCTTAGTTTTATGCCACTGTTAGCAATATTCCAGCAATATCAAGGTGGTGGACACCAGAAATGGGCTTCATACATTGTACCCATGTGGGAAATCAAACCCAGGTCTTCGGTGCGACGAGCAAACGCTTTAACCACTGGGCTACCCCACCGCTCCTCTATTTATGTAGCTGGTGCTCATACAATGTACTTAATACAGTTTAAGGTGAAAGTTCCTTGTTGAAACTAATGAAAGTTTGCAGATTGGATCTGAATTATCAACTGTATATTGTCAGAAAATGTTTAATGGTGACCCTACTAAATGTTACCTTGTTTACAAATATTTAATGCATATCCCAACTAAATTGAAACATTATGGCACAGTAATGATAAATGTTGGCTTGTACCCAAAAGAATAACATGAAATAATTACAAACTTCACACAAGATTTGAACACATTAAGAAGAAAATACCTGGGTGAATCTTACGACGTTCACAATGGTGTGAAGAAGTATGATGTCTTCGCCTTGTTTTTCTACATTCAAACATCACTAATTGTGCCATATGAACTAGTAAATAGTATGGCCATGCAAGCTTTAACACAAATATCCTCCTGCAGTCTGTGGGCCTTGGGTGCTTGTGATGAACATGAGACAGAATCAGAATGTTTTATTCATCTACAATAAAGTGTCAAAACTTCCACTTAAGGAGATGACAGATGAGGCTAAAGAGACTGATAGGATTACCAGAACACATGTTTTTTATGTAATTCAAGTGGCATTTACAGGTAGTGGAGCATTCATTCAGATGCAATCAGGCTATTAGTTTCAATGTGTTGTCCAGACATTTTGCACTTAATGAGGTGACACTTCAGACACAAAGTCTCAATCAAAATTGTTTGAACAGCAAGGGTGTGGATGGGATATTCCCAGCCAGGGCCATGTGATTACCTCTAAACACCCCCATCAACTTCACTTGAGGCTATTGAGTGGCAAGTGTCATAATGAGGCCAACCAATCAGCTGTAAGCAGTTTGCTGTTTCAGCCAATGAGAGCGTGACCCAGACTGCCCTTTCACCATGTGCAGCATTCAACACATGTCAAAAGAATTATCTATTGAAATCTCATCAGAGCAGAGAAAGAGATTGTGTGTAATCCCCAGAGACTGTTGACACCCCTGGCAGGTGGTCAATACTACTAAACTGACCACTAGTATTAGTCACTAGTGGTCAACTGTCACAGCTTGGCTCTGGTCATAATTGTTATTTATGACTGGCAGCATGACCCGTTGACATGGACAATTTATTGGGGTTATCTGAGACCAGTGATATATGCCTGATAGCACTTGCTTTATATGCGAACTGATGAATAATTAAAATAACCGTTTTCATTATATGGTTTGGCGTAATATTTCAAACTAGTTCTGATTGAGAAAAAGATTAGGAAGGCTTGTTATATGAACACAAGAAATAAAATTGATATTACACTGCCATGAATTTGTAAAATATTTGTTTCTGAATGGCCAATCAAAACGTCAAAGGATGAGGAATGTGATCATGGCGGCTACTACTGCTACAATAGATTACATCACACCTTATGTTTCTGGTATAAATACATGGATAATAACCGACACTTTTCAACAACCACTTTACAGAATCTCGTCAATAAATAGGATTACACATTCACTGTAACTAAACTGTATGTTAACCAATCATAGTTTTCTATATTAAAAACAAACAACTCGGGGTTCTGATTCTCCTTTACTGATTGCACTGGACTGAACACACTGATAGGGGCGGTGGGTAGCCTAATGGTTAAAGCATCCGGTAGTCAATCTGAAGTTTCGATTCCCCACATGGGTACAATTAAGCCAATTTGTGGTTCCCACTGTGATATTGCTGGAATATTACTAAAAGCTATGTAAAACCATTCTCAATCAGTCATTGGACTCAATGGGCATACACTTACACCATCATCTGTTACCCGTCAATTTAACGGTTTAAAATTTACAGTTCAAAATTTATGCCACAGTTTCTTTAGATATTCTAGCTTTTCAAAATTAACATCCAACTGATTGAAAAAAATCACGGAAGTAATCACAATGAAATTAGGTCTGAACCACTGGACGAAAGTGCTTTGCTTCAGATCTACCAGATATTTGATATTATTTTACTTGTAACAAAGTCAGCAGCAGTAACCAATACTCTCCAACTACTGCACTTCCTGTCTAGACATGAAGTGTGCGTGTACTTACACATACAAGTTGTAAATTGTTAATCAGATTGGCATATATTTCACATTATATTGTATGTTAAGAGCCTGAACATGTATTTGCTATGTTTTGGAAGTCTTCAATCATGTTAACAAGCATCAGATTACAAAGAAAATTGAATTTCTTGTGATTTAGTCAGTAGCTAATGTTCAGGTTTACCATTTAATTATCTGTACAGTGTTGTGTATTTTTTAAAATTATCTATGGAATTTACCAACAGACTATATCAATAAACTTTGCAATCATGTACATGTAGTGTTGTAAAATAAATATCAAAGTAATAATGAATGTGTGAGTATAGTTTTACGCCAAACAGCAATATTCCAGCCATATGACGACGGTCTGTAAACTATCGGGTCTAGACCAGACAATCCAGTGATCAAACAGCATGAGCATCGATCTGTGCAATTGGGAATCAATGACATGTGTCAATCAAGCCAGCGAGCCTGACTCGACTACTTCAAGGACCCTAAAAATTAATAATTTGTGTTCCCTGGACCCCTACTTTTGTATGTCTAGGTAAAACCTTGGCTACCCATATTATATTGTGTTACAACCGTAGATCAATCACTGCATCATCAAACAGCATGAGCATCGATCTTCACAATTGGGAATCAATGGCATGTGTCAACCAAGCCAGCGAGCCTGACTCGACTACTACAAGGACCCTAAAAATTAATAATTTGTGTTCCCTGGACCCCTACTTTTGTATGTCTAGGTAAAACCTTGGCTACCCATATTATATTGTGTTACAACTGTAGATCAATCACTGCATCATCAAACAGCATGAGCATCAATCTTTGCAATTGGGAATCAATGGCATGTGTCAACCAAGCCAGCGAGCCTGACTCGACTACTACAAGGACCCTAAAAATTAGTAATTTGTGTTCCCTGGACCCCTACTTTTGTTTGTCTAGGTAAAACCTTGGCTACCCATACTATATTGTGTTACAACTGTATGTAGATCAATCACTGCATTTGGAATAGATGAAAAGAAACGTTTGATATCAGTAATAATTTCTTTGCTGATTGTATCACCACACTATGAGACATAACACAAATATACTTTGAAGTAGTGTATAGTAGCACAAACAAAGACTTCAAAACAAATAAGAATTGACTGGATATATATGTTTCTATACACCAAGCATTAGGTTTGATTTAAAGCCCAAAAATTGCTCATTGCTCATTCACCACAATTATTTTTTTTCCAACTTGGTTGATAGTCCTGTCTGAATGAGACATGTCTGCCTTGTTTACATT